TGGACTGTGTCAACAGCTCCCAAACCAGCCAAGCGACCATTCCCAACGTCCATGGCTCTCCAGGGTGCAATTTCCACAAGCCCTCAGCATGTTAAGGACAAGGGGTACGGGGCAGGAGGGGAAAGGCGGGACAGTGGGAAATGGCTGTCAGGTGAAGTGGGCACGTGTGTGTGTGTGTGTGTGTGTGTGTGTGTGTGTGTGTACAGAATCCATGAACACAGATGATCTTTAACCCAGAGGAAGTTTCCTTCTAGCTCTGATCGGGCTTATGTAATTTTAATCTTTTAGAATTTGTCTGCTTTTAAAAAAAATATTCTTTTCAGGGCTGGCATTTATATTGGAGCAAACACCAAGTGGATCCTCACTTTAACACCCACAAAGCAGGTCGGGATGAGGCCAGGGTTGGAGGTGGGGGCGTGAGGAAGAGTGGACACTATTCCCCAGAATCCCCTCAGAGCAGGGACAGTGGGAAGACCGCGAGTTTCTTCCGCATAGACCCAATCAAGAGAGGTTGGATGCTGGGACCTCCGAACCCGGCTCTTCCCAGGGGTCTGAGTCTGTTCTGGGGCAGGAAGGAAGAATTCTGCCTTCTTCCTGGTTACAGAGCTCATCACATGGCCCCAAGTTGTACCCAAAGCAGCACTTGGAGTCTGAAGTTGCCAAGGCAACACCAGCTGCTCCCAGCACCACGTGACAAGGGGCCCAGACTCTTTTAGAACCTAAAATTATCGCTCAATCTGCTCGCCAGCGGTCCTGGCTGCCAGGGCGGCTAGCCCGGTGGGAAGCCTGGGAGGGGCTGGGCAAGAGCTGCTCCTGTGTGCATGCGGGACACACCTCCAGTCCAGGCACGGGGACAAGGCACACACACACACATCAACACATGCCACACGCACACACTTGAGCACACGCACCGCACATGCCATGCACGCACACTGAGGGCATAGACACAGCACGGAGTACACGCAATGCACACATCGCACACACAGCTCGTACACATAGTATATATACAGCACATACACACAGTACATACCTAGCGCACACACAGTACAAAGACCACCCATGAAAACACAAGGTCCATCATCCCCCTACCCTCCAACCTGCCTCCGACCTGCTTCCAGCTCCATGGGGACACTCACGATTGGGGACACACATGATCCCCTGTGTTGGCTAATGGGATTTCTGATTACACACTATTTCTGTATGCCAGCTCTCAAATGTCTCTGATTCAAAGGTGACTTCAGAGAAAGGCCCGGGATCTGCTTTCCCTGAATCCACGGTGACAGCACAGAGGGAAACCTGCACTGTCTTATTATCATGGTGGCTCTGACATCAGGAGAGAGAAGAATAACCACACCAGGGCTTGGGGGGCCCTCGCCCTCACAACACAAACACAGAACAAATGTGCAGGAGTGGAGATGGGAGTCACTGCAAAGCACGACCCTTGGTTCCTGCACTGCCCTCGTTTAGTCCTTTTGTCCCCAACCAACTCTCCCTCTGAGCCAGCCGTGAGGGACAACCAGAGCTGCCATTTTCTCCTGCTTCTACTTATCCTTACAAACAAGGACTGGAGAACCTGGACCATCACCCTGCCCTGAGGGAGCAAAAATCACACAAAGCCAAGCCCTGGGAAGCTCTGGACACAGGGACAGGAGGTGGTAAGTGCCAGGGCCTTCACAGGAAAGGGACAGAAACACCTTCTCAGAAGTCAGATGGTGAGTTGGAACCAAGCCTGGTGGCCACCCAGAAAGCCGATGCCCCCACCTCTGTCCCAGGACCCCGTGAGTAAGGTCTGATTGCAGTTTGCAGGGCAATCGTGGTTCATGGTGACGGTCACAACACCAGCCCCTCTCTGTGTTTCTCACTCTGGGGGTGGGAGGTGAGAGGCCGGCAGGGTCAATTGAAGGTGGTGTCAGCTGACAAGAGGGTTTCAGGGACCCACCCTGGGGCCGCTGTCAGGGACTTTTGGGCTGTGAACTGTCCATCCTCAGACACAGAGGACCATGTGCCCATGTCGCTGCAGGCATGGGCACACCGTTGGGGGCCAGTGTCCCCAACCCCAGTTGGGTGTGGCCAGGTGACTAGGGACAGCCCTTCCTGCCAGGCTGGATGCGCCCCGGGCCCTGGTGGCTGTGATGGCAGGGACCCTCACACCAGGTGGGACCCCGGCATGCCTGACACTGACCCGGACAGGGAGCAGGGCCCCCGACACTGGGCGGGGCCTTAACACCCCTGACACTGGGCGGGGCCCCCAGTTCCAGTCACACCTACTCACCTCGGCTGGGAGGTGGGTGGCGGTGTCTCTCCAGGTACCGTGATTCTGGCGATGCTCCCACGCCCAGGCTGCCCAGGCCCAAAGGGGATCTAGGTTTTGGTGCGTGTCAGGCTGCTCCAGCCACACGGAGTCACGCTAGGGTCACGCGGAGTCACGGGGTGGGGCCGACCCCTCAAGGTCTACAAGGGGCTCTCAGGGTCAGAGACCGAGAGGAGGCTACCTGCACCGCCATCACTTATGGGGACAAAGGTTGTGCCTGGGACCCCGAGGGAGGCCACTGGATGCAGCTCTCTGTGGTCCACACCTGCTGCCCGCACCTCTGCCTCCTCGAGCAGCTGCGGACTGAGCACGGCAGGAAGAGCCCAGGAGAGCAGCTGCCCGCCTGCCCCCAACACAGTCTGTCCCTGTCCTGTCCCCATCCTCGTCCTGTCCCTATCCTGTTCCCATCCTCATTCTGTCCTGTTCTGTCACCGTCCTGTGCCTGTCCTGTCCCCATCCCCGTCCTATCCCTGTCCTGTCCCTATCCCATCCTCATTCTGTCCCCAGCCCTATCCCATCCCAGGCTTCTCCATCACCCTCCCCTGAGCAGCAAAGCAGAGCCACGTGGTGCTGAGATGCTTACTCCAGGCTTGTCCAGACAGTGCAGGAAAGTCGGGGCTGGTCACTGCACTGTGGCCCCTCGCTCCTCTCAAGCCTCACACTGCTTGGGAACCTTCCCCAGGCAGCACCCCTGTTTTTCTCCCACCCCAAAGACCCATCCCGATTCCCCCGGTATCACTAAGACCAAAAAGTGGGGGCTCTGGGGAGCCTCTGCCCTGCCCTGGGGAAAAGGAGACTGCTGGGGCATGAGGAGTGTCACGGGGACTTACCTGCCAAACCCACCACTCCGCCCTTGCAGCCCTCCAGGATGAAGGGCTGGGCCCTCACTGGCCACTGGTGCGGGGTCTGCCCCTTCTGGGCAGTGTACAAGGCAGATGCCCATCAGTCCCAGGCCAGGCTCCAGGGATCCACAAGGCGCCCATCCGGGGAACAGGTGTGGCTGCCAAGAGTGAACAAAACCTCTCAAACAACAACAAACAGTTAACACCGCCGTCTGTCAACACCAATTAGCCCACAGACAAGCAGAAGCCTATTAAGACTGCCTGGCCAGGTCTGCACCAGCCCTGTAGCCCAGCTGGGACCCTTGGACGCTGGACCCTGGTTGGGAACCAACTTCTGGAACGTCTGTGCTTCCACTTATGTTTGCTGTAACTTCCTGGATATTTTAGGCAAAAGTGATAAATTGGGCCTGAACATTAAGGCATTGAGTGTTTTTTTTTTTAACCCCATTGCTTTAGGGGTTTTCTTCTCATTTAGCAGAAAGCAAACATTTTCCTGGGCTCCCAAGAGAGTGCCAGGTTCACAGCTCCCGCCTGCTCTGGCCAATAAAACACTGGGAAGCAGATACTAGCAAGTCCTTAAAAATCTTGTAGGCACCACCTGGATGCCCCAGCAAAGAAACCTGTCACAAGTCACAGTCCCGCCAGAATACCCCAGCCCCCAGCCCGTGGGCTCAAGGCTTGTTTAAGGGGCTGAAGCAAGAAATCGAGCCATCACACAGATTAGATTTTCTCCAATATTTTATTTATATAGAAATACTTAAAAAATGAAGTAGCACCATTACTTAAGTTTTACCTTTATTATGTAGAACTTTAAATGTCAGAAAAATAAAACTCTTGATACAATTTCAAATCTTGTCTCAGCAAATATAATATTAGTATTTGACCATGAGGTTAAAGACCCTTTATCATAAAATAAAATATACTTTGTTTTTTAAACTTTGCTCAGTAAAGTACATTTAAGCTCAAGTAACATCAACTACATATACAGAAACGAGTGATAAACAAATGTATTAAAATAGAAATACTAAAACTAGAATGTGGTGCAACAGAATTCTGCTAACTTGCACTGAATTCTATTTATACAAATGTTAGAAAGCTCAAGAGTTCCTTTTGACATGGTTATACGTTTCCGTGTTTTTGTAATAATATAGAATAAAATATGCTTGTATCACCAAATAGAAAATATGCCGGGTGAATCAGAGCTAGATTTTTCTGCACCTATAAAATCTCCATCCCAACAGAATCCTGTTCAAAACATTACACATTTTATGGTTTGTAAATCCGTCACAATTGTGTGATTATTAAAATAATACAGTGTTCTTTGCCATAAGGCCATATTAAAATAAAAAGATTTAACCCAGCTACAAAAAAGTTCACTGAACTTAAATTAAAATACTTGTAAACATCTTTGCAATATGAAATATAATTTTTCAAGTCAAAAAAGAATAAAATACTTCAATCTGTATTAATGCAATTTCTCTTTAAAACTTTGAAATGTTTTTTTCTTTTCTTTTTTTTCTTTTAATATATAAGAGATATGTTACAGTTTCTTTCCCGTTAATAAAGCAGCAGTACCCTGGCTTCACAGGAACTCGTGGGCCTCACACGAACATTCCAACAGGATCCGCTTTGTTCAGGTGTCAGAGCCAGACGGTGGCAGGGGCCGGCCGGGTGAGACCCGGAGCGCCCACAGCCCGCAGCGCGCTCGGTCCTCCTTGGAGAAGCTGGGAACCCCTCGGGGCTCTGTTCTAGGGACGCTTCCCGGGGAAAGTCCTCGCCGTGGGCTGGGACACAGCCTGCTCTGAGCGGCGCTGCGGTGCCGGTGCGGGGAGGAGCGCGCGGGGGGCGGGCCGGGCGCGCACGTGGCTTCAGGAGAAGATGCGGATGGCCTGCGTGACGGCGGCGTGGCACGCGGGGCACTCGGGCTGGCTCTTCTCGCAGATGCGGTTGGCGCACTCCATGCAGAAGAGGTTGTGGCCGCAGGGCACCAGCGCGGCGATCACCTCGCTCTCGAAGCACACGGAGCAGTCGCGGCTGCCCTTGCGGCGCAGCCCCGACGACGAGGACGAGGAGCTGGAGGAGGAGCTGGACGACGAGGACGAGCCCGACGTGTCGGGCGGCTGCGCCCCCAGCCCATTGGCATAGGCGGCGTAGGTCAGGCCCCCACCGCCCGGGTCGCTGCGCACGCGGCGCGCCAGGTGGTGCTCGCCGGCCCCAGGGGCCATGTGCAGCGGTGGCGACAGGCGCGGGCAGCTGGCGCCCGGGTGCAGCCGGCGGTGCACCAGCAGCCCCAGATTGGCATTGGGGGGCGCGCCGGCGCCGCCCCCGGGGAAGACCACGGAGGAGGAGGACGCGGACGAGGACGCGGACGAGGAGCAGGAGGAGGCCACTGGCGCGGCCGGGCCGCCCCCCGGAGACCGCTCGAACTGGGCCCAGAGCAGGGGCGCCCCAGCGGGCGGCGCGGGAGCCGGGTCGAAGGTGGGTGGAAGCTCGGTGCCAGCGTCGGGCGAGGGCGCGGGGGCGTCCCCGGCCGGGTAGGCGTAGCCGTGCCCGTTGTGGCCGTCGCCCTGCGCGAAGCTGAGCGCGGGGCTGGGGGGGCTGTAGTCCGCGAGGCGCGGGGTGGCGGCGGCACTGCCGCCCGTGCCCCCGCCGAAGTAGGAGTCGGTGGAGGCGCTGCCCAGAGAGCTGGAGCTGTCGTTGCGGTAGCTGGAGAAGGCCTTGCGGCTCGGGGTGGGCGTGGGCTTGCTCCACAGGCTGCCCGGGCCGGCCCCGCCGGCGCCGTGGTGCAGCTCGAAGCCCACGTCCGTGCCATTGGCGTGGAAGTCGTTCTCCTCCGTGAGCTCCACGATGCCGCCGGTGCGCAGCGCGATGTGCGCCTCGATCTCCTCGCGGGCGCGGTCCACGTTCTCGGGCATGCCTGTCACCTCGAACACGGGCTCCTTGTCGCGGCTGGGCGTCACAATGTACGTGTGCGTCTGCTGCTGGATGCGCTTGATCGTGGCACCCTTGGGCCCCACCACCAGTCCCACCACGCGGTAGGGCACGCGCACCTGGATGGTGGTCTGGCCCGGCAGGTTGGGGGGGCCGGGCACCGCGCCGTTGAGCGCCGTGCTCTTGTTCCGGGAGGCACGAATCATGGAGAAGTGCTCTGCGGCTGAGATGATCTCCCTCCGGGCCATGGCCACATCCTCCTTCCTGCCCGTCACAACAAAGACGGGCTCCTCCCCGCGGACCGGGGTCTTGATGTAAGTGTTGGTTTTCGCGCGCAGCGCTTTGATTTTACAACCTGGGGGGGGGGCGGGTGCAGGAGAGGGAGTTGGAGAGAGAGACAGACACGCCCATTATCCCGGGGCCACCGTGGGGACCAGGGCGGCGGGGGCCACGGGACGCGCGATGGGAGGAAAGGGGGCGGCGCCCTCGCGGACCCCAGTCTCGCTCCCGGCCTCGAAGCGGGTCCCTCCCGCGAGGCGCTCGCCTGGGGACCAGCCCGCCCGCAGTCTCCCCGAAAAAGTGCCGCGGAGGTGCCCCCCGGGACCCCGCGGGGCGCGCCGCCCGCCCTGGGGACGCGACACGGGCGCTCGGGCACAGGCGGCCGAGGTGGCGAGGTCCCGGCCCCGGGACCCCATTGTTCCTCGGCTCCATTCCGCGGTGCAGAGACCTAGCAGCCTCCTCCCGGGGCGCCGCACTCCTCCTCCCCCTCGCGAGGACCGAGCCGGCCCCTCCCCCAGCACCAGCGTTTAAATCCCCTTTCCCGGGGTGGGCGCGGTGGGGGGCGCCGGGGGAGCAGGCGGGGGCTCCAGCAGGAGCCAGGGCGGCCCGCCCCGGCCCAGGCGCGGCGCCCCGAGCCAGCCCGCCCGCACTTTCTTTGTCTGGGGCGCTGGCCCCTCGCGCGGCTCTTCCTCCTCCTCCTCCTCCTCTCGCCGCGGCCGCTCCCGGCGCTCCGGCCCCCGCACTCCCCGCGGGCGGCGGCCGGCGCCCCGTCCCCGCCCGGACCCACCTTGCCGCCCCACGATCTCGGCGACGTGCTCGGAGCTGGGCACCGGGACGCACTCGGTCATGTTCACGCTCTTCTTGCGCGGCTCGCTCTCATAGAGCGCGGCGCCCTCGTCACTGTCCAGCCCGAGCAGCGAGAGCTGGTCCAGCGCGAGCTGCAGCGCACGCTGGTCGTCCAGGGTCTCGCCCCCGCCGCCGCCCCCGCCGCCGCCCCCGCCGCCGCCGTTGCGCTCCAGGTCCGCGAACAACGAGCTGGGCATGGCTCGGCCGTGCGCCGCGCCCCCGCCGGCCCGGGCTCGGCGGCGAGGCGCTGCGGCCACAAAGGCAGCCGGGAAGCGAGTGGTCAGGGGCGGGGAGGCCGGCGGCGGCCGAGGGCTCCGCGGCCCCGGCCACGGCGCGGGGCAGCGGCTGCAGGCGCCCCCGCCGGGGTCCCCGCCCCGGGCGCGGCAGCGGGCGCGGAGGGGGCGAGCGGGAGCTGCGGCCGCGCGTGGCCCCCGCGCCGGCTCGCTGGCCACAAAGCCGAGCGCCGAGCGGGCGGCGGCGACAGCGCGTTGCTGCGCGGGCCCCTCCCCGCCGCTCCTCCCCGCCTCGGACTGAGCGTCCGCAGCCAGGCGCGCCGGAGGGGGACCGGCGCGCAACGTCACGGCGGGAGCTGACACTACAATGCCGCTGACACCCGGGCGGGGGGCGGCGATTGGCGCGCGCCGCGGGGGCGGGCGGAGGCCGCGGGCACAGCGCGCCCTCCGCCCCTCCCGCGCGCGGGCGCCGCTCTTTGTTGTCGCTGCGGCCGGCCGGCTCGGGACCCGCTGCCCGTGCCCGCGGCGGAGCGCGCGCCCGGCCCGGGCGGGCCCGTTAGCGTCCTCGGGCCGCCTATTGTCCGCCCCGAGAGCGCGGCCGCCGCGGCCGGGCGCGCGGGACACGCGGGCGGGCGGGCGGGCGCGGCCCCCGCGGCGACGCTCGGCCCGCGCCCCGCACACGCCCGGGGCCGCCCGCGCCCCCGCCCGCGCCCCCGCCCGCGCCCCTCGACATGCGCAGTGAGCGCGGCGCGCCGGCCCTTTAAGGCGCGCGCGGCCCCGCCCCGCCGCTCTTTGTGCGCTCGGCGGCTGCGGCCCTTCCCCGGCCCGTCCCCAGCCGCCCGCGGGCCGGAGGGAGGCGGCGAGGCCGGCCCGGCCCGCCCGCTCGGGCCGCGCGCGCTGCGCTTCTTTGTTCGCGGCGCCGGGGCTGGGCGGCGGGCCGCGCAGCGGGACGCCTGCGGGGCACAATGGAACCATGTGGCCGCCGCTCAGACCCGCAGGCCCGGAGACGGGCGATCCCGGGGCCGGGGGCGGGTCCCCGGTGTTCCCCGCGCGACCCCGAGGCTGCGGACCAGCGCCCGGCGCGGCGAGGGACCCTCCTCGCCCCGGGCGCGCGCAGCCCGGAGGATGGGCGGGGACCGGGGAACCGGTGAGCGCGGGCGCGGCGGCTCACCTGGAGCTGTCTGGGCCCCGGGTGCTGATTGTTCCCGGGGGAAAACGCGCCTCCCTGCACCCCCGCCTCGCCCTCTCCCAACGAGGAGCCGCTGCCAGCGCCCTTTTCTCTCCACCCGGTTTCGGGACCTGAGTGTGACCTCTGAGGAGGAGGAGAGGCTGCCCAAAGGGAAAGGCACCCGAAGGCGCCACGTTTGCATTTGCCACAAGACAGAAACTGGGTTCCTGCCTCAGAACCGTGCCATTCCCAGGGGCTGAGCCACCTCCAGATGGGGCCACCAGGGACCTTTTCTTCAAAGACACCGCGGCAAATCCGGGCCTGGTGCCCTCGCTGAGCCATGTCCAGGTAAAGGCAGTCGCTCATGCTCCCCTGGGGTTGCCTGAGCCGGAGACACACCTGTCCCCTCACCAGCTCGGATGCCCAGGCTCCTGTGATCTCCCAGTGGAGGCAACGCTGGGGCATCAGCACATCTGCCAGCGTCTTTCCCTCGCCCAGGGGGGCAGGACCTGCTCGGCCAACAGCTCAGCCCCTGCCATGGGATTTATAGGGCCCAGCTGGTCCTGGGGGCCCAGTCTCCCACAGACACCTGACACTCCAGCCAAGCCCAGACCAGTGGGGCAGCATTTCCCCCCTACACCCTGAAAGCCAAGGCCAAGCCCTGACGGGCTCATGCCCAGGCGGGGTCTCCCTCTGGGAAACAGCACCCCAAAGTCTAGACGGATGAGTGGCTCAGGCACCAGTATAGCCCAACACCAGCACAGCTACATGTCAGCTGTGAGCAGGGAGGGATGGACACAGCAAGGCGGATATACCGCAAGACATCCCTAAGTACAGACAAAGAATCAACGGAGGAGCGAACAGGAGCCAGAATGAGAGTGGTGGGTCAAAGAGCAAAGTCTGGGGTACCAGTAGGGAGGAAGCTGGGGGGCCTGGACAACTGACCACTGGACACTGGATGGTGAACAAAGTGGGACTGTGCATATGCTATCTTAGAGGTGCACACCCCGGCTGACCGGATGCCAGGAAGCAGGGAATCCAGCCAGGGCTGAAAGAATGGAATAAAAACTGAGGGGCCTGAACAGGAATCCTCGGCGGCCCCCAATTTCCCTCCCACCTCAGGTTGGGGAAAATTGAGACGATGGCCCACAGTGATGAAACGTGCCTCATGAACAGAAAAGATCTTACCAGAACATGTGTGTATGCAAGTGTGCGCACACGTGGTTGTACAGCTGTGATGACAGCACATATGTGAATGTGTGCACATGCAGCTGTGACTGTGTGGCTGAACGTGTGTGCCCGTAGGTGGGCCTGTACATGACTGCATGCAGGTGTGTGTGGGTGTGAATGTGTGCTGGGCAGTGAGGAAAGCCTAACTGTGTACAGTGCTTTAGCGCACACACCCTGTGCATATGCACGCACATACATTGTGTGCACACACGCTTCCCTACACTTCCTTCCGGGCAGGACACTGTGTCTGCGAGTGGGTGAGTGGTGAGCTGTGACTGCTGTGAGCAGAAGCCCTGCAGCCGCTGAAGGTTGCTGTGTTTGGGGAACCATTTTGGGAGTGTTTCCCCTGGGGGCTGAGATGCCGGACCCAAGCTTTCCTTACTTCTCTGGGAGCAACATCCTACGACGCAAGGATGGAAGCCAAGATGAGCGGGGGAGGATGGGTGGGGGGGCAAGGAAGGAGCCACCTTCCCCTGGGGCCCTGCCTGGCAAGCTGGCCAGTGCTATGCACCCCTTCGTGCCAAGCAGGAGTGAGGCTGAGGGGAGAAAGCAAAGTCCCAGGAAGTTCCTGGGAGCCCGGGCAGTAACCTCTGACCCACCACCACCTTCACTGATGCTATCACAGATGCCAAGCCCGACCCTCCATGGCCCCATCACTACCATGCAGTGTAGACACCAACCCCGACCCTCAATGGCTCCATCAGCACCACCACTGCAGTGTAGACACCAACCCCGACCCTCAATGGCCCCATTACCACCACTGCAGTGTAGACGCCAACCCCGACTCTCAATGGTCCCATCAGCACCACTGCAGTATAGACACCAACTCCGACCCGCAATGGCCCCATCAGCACCCACTGCAGTGTAGACGCCAATCCTGACCTTCATGGCCCCATCAGCACCACCACTGCAGTGTAGACGCCAACCCCGACCCTCAATGGCTCCATCAGCACCACCACTGCAGTGTAGACGCCAACCCCGACCCTCAATGGCCCCATCACCACCACTGCAGTGTAGACGCCAACCCCGACCCTCAATGGCCCCATCACCACCACTGCAGTGTAGACGCCAACCCCGACTCTCAATGGTCCTATCAGCACCACTGCAGTATAGACACCAACTCCGACCCTCAATGGCCCCATCAGCACCCACTGCAGTGTAGACGCCAATCCTGACCTTCATGGCCCCATCAGCACCACCACTGCAGTGTAGACGCCAACCCCGACCCTCAATGGCCCCATCACCACCACTGCAGTGTAGACGCCAACCCCGACTCTCAATGGTCCCATTAGCACCACTGCAGTATAGACACCAACCCCAACCCTCAATGGCTCCATCAGTACCACCACTGCAGTGTAGACGCCAACCCCGACTCTCAATGGTCCCATCAGCACCACTGCAGTGTAGACGCCAATCCTGACCTTCATGGCCCCATCAGCACCACCACTGCAGTGTAGACGCCAACCCCAACCCTCAATGGCTCCATCAGCACCACCACTGTAGTGTAGACGCCAACCCCGACCCTCAATGGCCCCATCACCACCACTGCAGTGTAGACACCAACTCCGATCCTCAATGGCCCCATCAGCACCCACTGCAGTGTAGACGCCAACCCTGACCTTCCTTAGCTCCATCTCTAACCACTGCAGTGGAGACGCCAGCCCTGACACCTCCATCTCCCCCAAGGTTACTGCCATGACTCTCACCATCACTTCCTCTGCTCTGCCTCATTGGGTCTCTCAGTCATTTTCAGCAATCCTGACTCCATAGGTGTTACGTGTACCCCCAAAGTGGGGTGTTCCCTTGTACCCCTTCCTGAAGCCCCCTGGAAACCAGAGTGGGGTTTCTCCTCAGCACCTCTTCCTCGCTGCAGCCTGCCAGGAGGCACAGGTGTGTTAGGGAAGAGTCTGCCTATCTCTCTTGGGTCCAGTTTCAGTGTGTCCATGTCTGTCTGGAGGACCTTTGGGGGCTGCAATGGGTAGTGCCATGTGGGCAAACATGACATGAAGCCCTGGCAGCAGGGGGCAGCAGAGCAGTCTTGGTTCCTGTGTTTGAGTGCAGGGTGGAGCAGATGGGAGGGGACTGACCATGCTCACTGACCGGTCAGCCACATACAGACACCACTGTTCCCGACTACAGGCCTGTGTCTGTAGGAGTGTGTCTGTGGCTGACAGCTGCCTGCCTACCACGTGCTGGACCCCGGGCACAGGGGCCTCTGTCGTCCCACAATACATCTGCAGAGGGGCCAGCCAATCTGCCTTTAAAAGGCGGGGCATGTCCTGCCCTAGGCGTCACTGAAACCTTCATCTCACCTGCCTCTCTGGGCCATGGCCAGCAGGGTGCCAGCAACCTCCAGGGCACCACAGGAACGGCTACACGCACACAGACACAAAGACGCACACGATACACAAAGGCACTCAAGTCATAGACACACAATACACAAAGACACAGTCAAGGCAAGTGATACACACAAAGACAGTGCCGCTGCTTCCCACCCTTTTATCTGACAGATGGGCTGGGGCCCTGACTCCAGCCGGTGAAGCTCGGGGGGACCGTGCAGTGCTGGGGATAGAACCAGGGCACCTGTTAGCAGAGCCTGCGCTCAGTGTGGAGAGACCTCTCTGGCCCTGCAGGGCCACTGCTCCCTGTCCAGAGAACTCACTGGGGACAGAAGTCTCTAGGCCAGGCCCTCCACAGGCCCGTGGGGGCCCAGGATCGAGGCTTTGCTCTGCTTTCCAGAAAAACAATTTTCTTACAAGATGGCTAGAATAATAATTACATCTTGAGTTACAGAGTTTCATCTACAGCAAGAGACTCCACAATTCGAGGCAGCACTTTCCCAGAAGCTTCGAGACAGCTCTGAATTCTTGCTGAGTTTGTATGAAGCCAGAAAATTCCATTTCTGTCTCTGGATCAAGCCTGGCCTTAGGCATTCCCCTATGGACACGGCACACAGGACAGCAAGGGCCACATTTGCTCCCAGGTCGCAGCAAGATGTGGGACCAGCTGTGACTCCCTCCTTCCAGACTGATCCTGCTGCCTGCTTCTGGGGCATGTGCTCTGTGACTGTGACTTCAGACATGGGGTGCCAGGGGCTCGAGCTCCTGGAGAATCATGTAGAACAACTCACAGTGCCTGTTTCTATGAAACAGGGGCCAGGGAGCTTTCCACGGCTCCTCTCCTGGTCACCGACTGAGCCTGTGGGAAGCGGCGCCCACTCACAGCACAGAACCTGAGGATAAGCCTTGTCAGGGTCAGACCATCTGGGGTGCTAGCGATTGAACACAGGTCAGTCACGTGCAAGACAAGCGCCCTCCCCGCTGTCCCATTGCTCCAGCCTAGTCTTCTCTAAAGGAGGTGCAGGGTGGCCCTTAGCTCGCGCCCGTCCGCAATGTCACCGACATAGTGGAGGGGCCACCCATGATCAACGCCAGGCTGGGAGAGGACTGGAGCTCAACTACTGCCTGGTGCTGGTCTCTCGATGCTAGAAATGCTGAGAGCCTGAGAGAACCTGAAACGTGCTCAGAGGGAGACAGCAGGAGACAGCGCCCGGACCGCTGGGGTCTCCGAACACTCCCCATTTTTATTTACACACTTCCTGCTGCAGGCCAGAATCAAGCACCAAGACACCGGAGGAATGTGCCATCCAAAGGAACCGCCAGGACCTTTATTGACAATGCACATGATAGCGCGGGAAAGCTCAGTGAGGCCACAGGCTGGGGGAGGCAGGAGTCAGCCCGAAGCAGCCACTACTTGTTCTTGCTGAGGGTCCTCTGCTTCTCTGCGTGCTCCACAATCTTCTCCTCCACGTACAGCCCCTTCCGCTTCCGCACAGCATTCATGTACTTCCGGGCCTGGTTCTCAGAGTCCGCCTTCTCCCCAAAGTGCAAATACTCCTCCTCGGTAGTCGGCACCCAGAAGGGGTCGCTAGGGATGATCTTGTAAGAAAAGGCAGAGAATGCGCTACGTTAGCCTAGTTGGCTGAGGGTGAGTGAGGTGACAGTGGTACCTGCCTGAGGGATGCCACTGAACACACAGGCTGTCACGGGGGACCATGGGCCATCACGGGGGCAAGAGGACCGCAGGCCATCATGGGGGAGGGTCCACACAGACACCGGGCCATTATGAGGGGAACACAAGGACCACGGGCAGTCATGGGGGGTGGTAGGAAACGTGGGCCATGACCATCATGGGGAGCACACAAACCATGGGCCATCACGGGCGGCACACAGACACCAGGTCGTCATGGGGTGCCATGCAGACTCTGGGCCATCAAGGGGTGGGGGGAGGGGCATGCAGACCACAGGCCCCAGAGCACACCGTAGGCAGCGAGTCTAAAGGAGAGAGACCCTTGGGAAAAGCCCCCGTTGTCCCAGACACAGCGGGATCAGCATCTGCCTCGGGCCTGGCCAGCACCTCCAGCATGTTCTTGGTTACTCTGCACTGGGCGTCGAAGCAGGATGGGGAGCTGGAGGACTGGACACTGCCCTGGGCCAGTGCCTGCCTAGTAGACTCCTTATCTCTGCTGGGCACAGAAGCCAGTGTGGTTCTAATCTGGGAACAGTTTTCACTGAGGTGGCTCCTGGGAGGGATAGAAGGGAAGGCTCAGGTGACCAACAGCAGAGGCAGACAGGGCCCCCTCTACCCCTTGGGACACCTCCCCGTCTGCTCGGTCAGGGCCTACAGCCTTTGAGGGAGGGTGGCAGGAGGGCGAGACATGACTGGTCTATCTCTGAGCCCTCTGCCAAGCTGCAGCTGTCAGAGGCGGACGCTGTCCGCACAAGCCCTGCTCAGAGTGGAGATGGGCAGGGTCGGGCTCAGGGCTGCATCACAGGCCGACACTTGGCGCAAAGCAGGGCCTTGTTCTGACTGCCTCCTCCGGCGGGTTTGGAGCAAAGGGGTGCTCACTGAGCAGGGGGGTGGTGGTGGTTCAGAACCTTGAACTTCTCAACGAAAGCAGAAGTAGCACTGCACTGTCCTCCCACTGTTCATCAATTTGCTTGAGTGGGCACCAGTATCGTCTCTATTGTGAGACTTGTTACTGTTTTGGCATATTGAATACATCTCGGATAGCTTGCCAGGCTTTGCTGTGCGGGCACGATACTCTCGGTAGCTTGCTGGGCTCTCCGAGAGGGGCAGAGGAATCGAACCGGGGTCGGCAGCGTGCAAGGCAAAAGCCCTACCTGCTGTGCTATCGCTCCAGCCCAAAGCAAAAGTAAAACATGTATTTTCAGTCATCCCTGTTATGAGGGAACGTCCTGTGACCTGGCACAGGACACTCTGGTGGAGAAAGGGAGGCCCAATGTGATCCAGGAGGATATTCCACATGGGTCCAGGGCTCAGCCTGGACCCACTTCCAGAGTCCCTGAGACGTGCCGTGCAGGAGTGCCGAGGCTATGTGGGCTGGGGCGGGTGAGGTCAGAGAACAGCTCTGAGACCTGGGCAGAAGCTGCCTGCAGGGCTGGCTGTGGCCTTCACATTCCTAGCAGGTCCAGCCTGGAGCTCTGGTGGCTGCAGCCCCCTAGCCTGGAGGGAGGCCTCATTCTGGAGCACTGCGGGAGCCCCTGAACAGGAGCTGCTGCCCGGCAGGCGTCCGTGTCCATAGTGAGCCCATGGCCCCCGCTGTTATGCCTCACCTGCCACGAACCCCAGCACGAGTCCATCCCAGGTATCTCCTGCAAGCAGAGCTGTGCCAGAGGGACTCGGGCCAGCAGTTCAGGGCAGGGCTACGTGTCCCTCTGCCTGTTATTAGCTGCTTTCCCCTTGTTCGTGGAAGGGAAAAACATAGAAAGAGAAATTACGAGATTGCTGACTTCAAAGGTTTCCTTATGGAAAATGCCTGTAATTTTATTTTCTCTATTTTTTGAAGCACTTTCTCTCAAAAGCTCTTGATTGTAAATTATATGGTGTGGTAGAGCACAAATGGGAAACAGGACTGTGGCGGGAGAAGCCAGATCTCAGCAAGTGTGTTATTTCTAAACCTAACGGGGGGCGGGGAGGGGGGGAGACGGAGACAGCCCCAAATGATCCGATCAATGACATTTAATTATAACGTAGTTCTCCAGCCTCCAGAAGATGTGCCGCTCCAGGGAACGGGCTGTGGCAGGTGGCGAGGGGAATGCGGGAGCAGCGCTCACCCAGCCATCTCTCTGGTAGTTACTAGGACACTGACTTTCCACAGCAACATGCGACAGGGTCAGAAATCGGTACCTTCCGACAAAAGGTATAAAGGGGCCGAGGTGCAGTGGGGAGGGCACTTGCCTTGCACATGGCTGACCAGGGTCCCCCGAGCCTTCCAGGAGTGATCCCAGTAAGCTCTGAACCCCCAAACCAACCACACAATTATTAAGGACACGAGAAGATTTCGAGGTTCCTTTCCTGTAGGATAACACTCTTTTGTCCTTCCTCAGGTAGCTTAGGTTTGTCAGGTCACACCCATCTAAGGACACTGAAACTTGTATTGCAAGCAATGTCCTTTCTGTGTGGACACAGGAAGACAGTTAATATTATGCTTTGTAACTTGGGAGTTGATTGACTCCGAATAATATTTACTCCTGGGCATCTGATTTCTTGATTCAGCTGCCCTTAGTTCCTAGCACCCCAAAAGCAGGGTCCCGACGAGGGACTGAATGGACCCAGGGCAAGCAGTGAGCTACCCTGGCATCGAAATGGGCCAGGCCAAAGAGCCACGATACTCAACTGTAAGTTGAGGGCATGATCATGGACAAATGCTGTCATGATCCAAAAGTAAGTAACGACGAGACTAGGACCCTGCTGGAGCTAGGAAGATTAACCTGGCCTGAGGACTGCGAAATATATAGTGAGATGTTCTCAGGAAGAACCAAACTTAATTTATATCTCTTACTGTGCTCATACAGAATGACATTGCTAGAAATATTAGAAGTAGATTTATTACAACTATTTAAGTAGATTACTAACTGAGGGAAGAACACACCCTTGTTGGGATCCCACCCTTGGGTGGATCTCCTAGTAATCTGAAGTAATCTCTGTAGATGAGATTTTATCCTTAAATTAATCTCCTGGAGGAGTGGTCTTACCTCTCTTTGTTGATTCGTCAGTATTCAACCCACCTTTGTGTCACCGCCTTATGTGACTGCTATATAAACTAAGACGTAAGCTTGGAAAGAGAGTCAGAAGCCAGAGAGCTCGGGCTCCAGAGATCCAGAGTCAGAGCCAGAAGGAGAGAGCTTCCAAGACTGGGGCCCAGGAGAGAAGGAGGCAGAGAAAGACAGGAGTGAAGAGGATTGGAATAAACTACTATTGATATAGACCGGCCTGGCCCCCATTTTTTCTTCCGTCTGCCCTTGGCCAACAGCCGTTCCAATCCAGGCCCCACATAGCGGCTCAAGAGCACCGAACGCAGGCGGTGAGACAGTGCCGTCCAGTGAGCCCGTGAACACACAACCTTCGGCGTGATAAGATTTTACACTTTCCCTTTTGATTACGAGAGAAAATGAGCCTGGGAAACCACTGTGGCCCTCACATCAGCAGAACTTATCTGCTGGCAGAAATCTGTATTTTTCACATTGATCGCTCCTGACTCTTCGTTTCCTGTTTCCCTTGGAAAGGGCTTCTCAGGTGGTCAAACAGGTGCCCAGGGTCAAGGGTAGAGGTGCACACTCCTCTGGAGCATATACAAGCCCACACGCCTGTCCTGGGCTCAGCAGCAGGGACACAGCCCCATGTCAGCTGAGCACCCGCTGAAGTGCACCCTGCGTCCAGCGCTGACAGAAGTGGTTGTACAAGGTCCAAGCAGGGGGGAGAGGAGAGAAGGGAGTGACTCCTCACCCCTGCTTTCTCCTGGCTGAGGAGGGCAGCAGGCCCAGGGTGGGGTTACCCGATGTCTCCCCAAGAGGGCAGTGCACATCTCTCCTGGGCCCGCCTGATCATGCTGCCTGACCCTCCCGACCTAGCACACTCTTGGGAGGGCCTGGAGAAGACTGGCTCAGCTTCTCTGCCTCAAAACGCACATCCCGAGACCCCGCCAGACGGCTGGCTAGGTAATGACAAGGCAGAAGAGAAGAGGTGGACTCGGACCCACTGTCCACAACGGCCACCTGCTCCAGGTCTGTGTCTGTAGACTGCCTGCTGGCCCATGCCATGGCACTCCCCAGCCGTGCCTCCTCTCCTGGCTCTGCAGGCCATGCAGCTACGCACCCCATGTGGAGGGGTTGCGGCAGGGTCCCTGCCATGGACAGGCTCCTCCTCTTCAGGTCGCCTCCTTCGAGCCTCCCCTTCTACTTCCTACTGCTTTGTGGACACACCAGTGATGCTGGACTGCCCAGAACCCAGATGGTAAAGCTACATGCCCAATGGACCAAGTTTGGTTAGGTGGGACTGAAAGAAAACAAGCCATCACCTAGCCAATGGACTGCCATCAAACGTTTCTGAACAAAAATCAAAATTCAAGAAAAATGTAAGTACGAACCAGTAAGATGCAATCTGAGGCAGAAGCCCTCAGCTCTGCTCTATCAGACTTGGGGTAAGTACCGGAGAGACAGTATGGGGAAGGCCCTGCTGTACAGGTGGCCTAAACCCAAGTCCTGCCAGGTGTGGCCCCAGCACCTGCCCCCCAGACTCAGCAGGGCTGTGTGCTACCATGTCTGCATCTGTTCAGACGACAGGTGCTGACCCCTAAAATCACTTTGTTTGGAGTTGACAGCCCGCAAGAGCTGCTCAGATGTCAGATCTTTGTTCCCCTTTAGTTCTCAATGTACATCATCCATCAAAAATATCCTAGGAGGGAACTACCTCACCCAAGGGTGAAAGCAAGGACTTGGCCTGAGAGGAAACAGTGTGAGGAAGCTCCTGCAAACCTGAATGAAGTCACGTGGCCTCAGATAGTGCCTGCAAGACTGAGGGCAGGGCCGTGGGCAGGAGCAGCTCGGTATCAGACACGCGCCATCGTGCCAGCACTGCAGGAGAATCTGACCCCACCAAAGGCAATATGCCATCTACCAATGCTGTCCTCCTGGTACGGGAGTGGTGGGAAGTCGCTTGCAGCCACTGTCCAGTGACTGGAACCACCTCTGAAGACAACGCCCCAGTGACACCCTGGGTGAGGCAGAGGGACATGCCACGGGGAGTGCCTGCGGTTTGGGGTCCGGCAGTGGCATCTGCTCAGGGACATGGCTCTGTCCTCTCTGGCCCTCTGCTCGACCCCCAAGCCCTCTGATCTGGAACACTTGTCCTCCATCTGTTCTCCCCTTCCCAGGTCGCCTCCAGCTCTGCATGTACAGCTTTTTCCTTTACTCCCAAGGCCCGCCTGAGCACCTCCACGTCTGCCAGGCCTAAGGATGAGCCCCACACAATGAGTGGACGCACGAGTGACCCTCGGCAGGCTGGAGCACTCTGGCCTGAAGGAAAGGCGCAGCAAGTCCTACTTCCAAATGTCTGACCCTTTCTTTGAAAAAGCTAACTGCCCTTCGAGGGGAAAAAAGGAAAAGTTTCATGTCCTCAAGAGAGAAAGGAATGGGCATGTGTGTGCTGAGGGTCACTCTGGTTTCTGCTGTTCACGGGCAGCAGAGGGGCAGGGAGCAGCGGGCACTGGATCCTGGCTTACCTCCCAGTGGCTGAACACCAGCTGCGGGCTAGCCAGCCCGCTGGTCTTCTTGCGGATCTCGTCTGCGAAGCCAAAGCTCTCAGCGACGGGCAGCACGGCCTTGATGGTGAACATGTCCGTGCCCTCCTTCATCTCCTCCTGCAGCACGCGCCCCTCTCTCTTGGACAGGACAGCATAGACCCGGCCTGCAAGTACAACTCGGTCATGGCTCTGACCAGCTACTTTAAGTCGCACACCCCAAGGGAGGTGTGAGCAAGGGAAAGAAGGACAACTGGACAAAAACTAGAACTTGGAAGCCATAGCTCAGAGGCTGCCAGCACTGCAGGGCCCTGAGACCTCTGGGTATGGCCAGACTGTGTTCCCCAGTGGACAGAGCATCAGTAGCAAGTGTTTTAAAGGATCTGCTCCCGCAGTGCCACCCCTAGGCTGCCTCCAGCTGAGAGGCCAAAGCTGAGGGAGACTGGGCAGGGCAAACACTCCCCCCTTTCAAGCCTGAGGAGCCAGAGCTGACATGGGGCAGTCATGGCAGCGACTTAAGCAGTCAAATGAAAGCTTCTGCAGAAAAGTGAAAGCAGAGCGTTAGACCCCTAGGGCTGCAGGAATATAAATCGCGTCACTAGGGAGGGATTGTAAAGGCAAATGGTTACAGCAGGTTCCCATGAAGGAGGGTTTTCTTCTCATCTGTGGCACCTGTTCTCGTTGGTAAAGCCTGTGGTGCCATCTCAATTAAACACAAACATGTAAGGAAGCAGGTGTCACTGGCACTGCAGAGGGCGGCCCCTGGCACACACTTTGTTTCATGGAAACTCACCACAAGGCAAGCCTAAATTTCTTCTGGTGACAAATCGCTGCATTTTGGCATTTAGACATTACTGACTGTTGGAGAACATTGGTTAGTCCTTGCTCTTCCTGCAGGGAGCTTAGGTTTATTGAGTTACTCCCACCACAGTGCTCCCAAGGCACATCCAATTCCATCAGGCACTAATAATCCATATGCCTTTCTCTTTCCTTTATGTCCTTCGCATGGTTTAACAATGTCCTCTTTGTATAGATGGAGGAAACCAGTTGATGCTATGCTTTTGTAACGTGGGAGTTAACTGACTCCAAAGAGACAGTGGACATCCATCATTATACCTGACTTAGGCCTCAGTTGCCCTTACTTCCTAACACTCCCAAAAGGAGGATCCCGGTGAGGGACTTGGATGGACCCAGAGCAAGCTGTAAGCTACCCTGGCATCGAAAAGGGACAAGCTAAGTGCCGTAAGAAATATAATGAGTTATGAGCACGGTCATGGAACAAAGTCTGTCATGATCCAAAAAGAGGTGCTGATGGACCCTGCTGGCGTTAGGAAAGACTAACCTGGTGTGAGGATTGTAGTCTGGGATATACGAGCAACCTTTAAGCTTAGTATCTCTCTTACTGTGTTCATACAAAACGACTAGAAATGTTAGTAAGAAGGAAATTTAATATTATGGATTACTAGCTGAGGAAAGGAGAAAGCAATACTCCCTCTGGTGGAACCCCACCCTTGAGCGGATCTCCTAATAATCTAGAGGGCTGAATCCCCAGATGAGATTCTGTGCTTGAGTTAGTCTCCCGGAAGAACTTCCCCTGAAGGAGTGGCTTTACATCTGTTCACTGTTATGATAATGTTCAACTCCACCTATGTGTACATCCACCCTTCACAATTTCCTATACAACTATGCTGAGGGAGGAGACAAAGGGTCACTGATCACCGACCAGCCTGTGGCCCCATTCCTTCCTTTCGGTTCTATTCTCCATCATCACTGGCCAGCTGGGAGAACAGCCATACGCATGTACCATGTGCCCACCACATTTTGAACTCACAACTGACCAAAGAAACTTACAAGAAAGAAGGCAAACAAGAACACACTGACTGGAGGACCTGGGAGGCCCAGCACCGTCTAATGGGCTCCTCTCTCCCACCCCAGGGGACCCACACCATGTAGGCCCTGTGCCTTGGCTCCCGAACCTTCAAGGCACCCATGGAAATCATCCAGGGCCCAAGTCACAAGTAACAAGAGTAACCAAAGGCTGGGGGACCCCCTCACCCCCAACTCCAAAATTCCCTAGAGGCAAGCTAGGGGGAAGCTTTGCTTCCTCAGAAGGAACCTAGAATCTACAGAAACCCTTTGTCTTAGAGCGAAAGAATTCTACTCTTTGATCATTTCCAGAACAACTCTGGTTACTGAGACTGATACAGAGATTCACGGAAAACCATTGCAGAAGTCACAGGTAACTAACGCAGCGGCTTTCATTTCAAAAGGAGAAAATGTCTATTTGGTGCAAAAGAAAAGAACAAGATGACCGAGTGGTATTCTCCGCCCAACCCGTGATTTTAGTAAGACTTTAGGCCACTGGCTTTTAAAGGCTAAGCTCTGTGGTAAATGACACGAGGACGAAGACCTGAGACAGCTCAGCAGTAGGGCACATGCCTAGTATGCAGAGACCTGAGTTGGATCCCAGTACCACAAGCACCCTCACCCAGGCACTGCCAGGCCTTCAGGCACTGCAGGGGTGGTCTTGGCGGACCCCAAAGCACCATAACGCGAAGAGGAGGATGAAGAGGAAGCAAGCACAGCAAGAAGGCCTCTCAGCCTTCGCACTCCATCCCCCTTACCCAGCACGTCGCCTGTGGCCATGATGTCGCACGTGTACATGGCTGCCATCAGCCGCTGAGGCTTGGCCTGCAGGGCGTGGCGACAGGCCTCCTTCATGGTGGCAATGAGCTGCCCTGAGAAGGGCCCATAGCAGTCTGGGAGCGGGGGGTCTCCTCTCAGGGCCGGCCTCTTCTCTTCAGGCCCTTCTCCCTCAGGATGGCCTTCTGGGTTCTGCGCCTCACTGGCTGCTTGCTCCTTGAACTGACTGAGATCCCACTTTTCCAGAACAAAGCAGACCCCCATGAGTGGCTCCTCACACATGGGGCCGGCGAGGGTGGCTAGCTGGAAGCCGCTCACGATGCTGTTGCCCAGGTCTCGGTACTGCCGGGCTTCTCGGGGACATGCGCCTGCCAGGCCGGCCCACACCGAGCCCTCGAAGTCCTCGCTCCTGTTCACCAGCATGTTGGGCCCACATTTTCTCGGGCCAAATGACCAGATTTGGTCAACAGTGTTCCTCCACTTTCTCCCTGTGAGGTGCTGCTCTAGTTTTTCTTTAAATTCCTGAATTTTCTCCTGGGTCTTCTGGTCAATCCGCTGGGAGTTTTTGCCCTCATTCAAAGAGGATGTCCACTGCTCCATGGAACGAATCAAGTCACTATTTTCTTCAAGAAGCTGGGTGACTTCTTCTGGAAGGGGCATGGCTCGAACACTGAGCTCGGCAAGTTTGTTGGGGGTCATGATGGTGACGAGTCCATCGGCATCAATGTGGACCCCATCAGGGACTTTGTTCTGGTCTTCCTTTGCTTGGTGTATGACGGCGATCTTCTGCTGTCTGCCTATTTCTTCATTGACCATGTCGACTTTGGGAGGTTTTGTGACTGTTTCTCTGAATGGAATAATGGGTTCAGATGCACTGATTTCAATCTTTGCAAACCTAAAAGTTGCAGAAAAATGAAAAAGGTTATGATTGAAATGTCATCAAAACTCCCACATAAATATATACCACAATAGAGCTTCTGCAAAAACAAAGAAACACATTTAAGTATGCAAGACAGGTAATTCAGATGATCAGAATTCAGAGACCACCTTCATTTCAAGTCTGGAGAGATAATCTCTATTGGGAATTCTCGGCAACCAGTCGTAGCTTGATCACTATGATTATTCTATAGAATTTCATATGAATAGAGCAGGATTGATTGATTTATCCATCAACTGACTTATGTCCAGTTTGTGGTTCTTAAAATTGCTGCTGTTAAGAATAATCTTGGAGTACATCTGAGCAGCTTTGTGCTAAGTGCACAGAGATGACACAGGGGTGTCCATCTGCCAAACAATCATGAGTTGTTTATATTTCTGTGGTTCCTGAACCAGAGAGGTCAGGGGAGTCAGGACCCCGAGCGGGAGGGAGCTATCTCTGCGGTCAGAGAACGACACTCTAGTCTGTATTTTCCTAACTGCTGCAATAAGCATGCCATATACCTTTAGAAGAAAGAAGAAAAATATCCTTTATAAATGTGACTTAAAATGCCTATTTTTTTTTTTTATAATTTATTTCTTTATTGAATCACTGTGGGAAAAGTTACAGAGCTTTCGGGTTTAGGTCTCAGTCATGTAAGTATCAAACACATTTCCCTTTACCAATACTTATTTTTAACCGTGAACCCCAATAGACCCCCACCTCCCCCCACCCCTCCCAATTCTTGTGAGACAGATGAGTTCTAGTTAATACTCTATCTACTTTGACTAGATAGATTGTTTCGATAGAAGATGCACAATTATTGTTTAGAGTTTATGACCCCCCCCCAATCAGATATGCTGAAACAGCGTTGTGAAATGATTTGCTTTCTACAGCTGGGTTTAAGAATAAAATGATGTCGCGCGGCCGCTATTGCAGCCGCGTGGTTTTGGATTTCTGCTGTTTTAGTTATTAACCCTGGAAGTATTTCTATTAAAAGTTAGATAGTTAAGAGATTGGTTTCTGTGCTCTGGAGTCGTGGCCATGCCGGAGAGCCGCTCGTGGGGGGCAGCTGGTGACCTCGGTCGGGTGTGAAGGACGGCCCACAACGCCCCCCTTCCCATAGGCCCCTGCCGCCCTCCGCCCCTGGCTCAAACCTGCTGTCCACAATAAAATGCCTATTTTATACCTACCATCTTCACCCAGAACTAGGAACTTTTCCTAAGTTCACAGTAAGATTTTATAGCCAGCTTTGTATTAAAATAAAATATACATGTACAAGAGTATTTTATGGCTCAAGTTTAAAAGTGCAAAACTATTCAAGTGTAGGAAGCAGATGTTATTTGCCTCTTATTCATGAATAAATGAAATCAATGGCTCAGTAACAATAGCAACTCCTATCTGGGTTAAGGGCATTTCCTTTTTCTCTCTCAGGTCAGCCAGCCTAGCGCTCGCGCGGATACCGTACTTGGCCTGCGTGCCCCAATTATCCAGCTCACCGTTCTTTCAAGTCGTCTAGGCATCGCTGGAGGTGCACCTCCCCGGCTGTGACCAGGACATGCTCACCCGTCTCCTGAATGAGAATCTGGACACAGGGGTCAGCCTGGTTCAGCAGCTTCATTCCTTTGACAAGCTGAGGCATGTCACCTAGGTCAGATAGAAACAGGCAACCCTACTGAATACAGAAGGCACATCTAGCCTGAAGATGATGTCCATGCCAGTGGAGACCCTCCAAGCATGTTGGGGTGCAGGCCTGAGGCCCTCAAACACTGCCAAATGTGGCATGGGCAGCACAGAATTGCTGGGCCTGAGCCCTCAACAGGCCTGTTGACCAAGTGTCATTGGAATGGCTCCTCACCCACCAAGAACTGCTTGGGGGCTCCCCCCATCCCACCAAAATCACTGTCACTGTCCTCCTGTTGTTCATCGATTTGCTCAAGCGGGCCCCGTTAATATCTCCATTGTGAGACTGGAGCGATAGCACAGTGGGTAGGGCATTTGCCTTGCACACAGCTGACTGGGCCGACCCGGGTTCGATATTTCTCTGCCCCTCTCGGAGAGCCCGGCAAGTACCAAAAGTATCTCGCCCGCACGGCAAAAAGCTGGCAAGCTACCCGTGAATCATTCGATATGCCAAAACAAAAACAAAAACAAAACAAAAAAACCAAAAAACCCCAGTAACAACAAGCTTGACCCCACCAAAATAAGGAAGAAAAAAAAATCCACACACTTAGAAGCTGATTTTCCCAACCTGGGTGGGTAAAAAAGGTCCATCTTTGCGCGGAGAACGCTGGCAGAGATGGGAGACTGGGTGGCTGTCAAGCACCCTGCTGGGTGGCTGGTCCTGTGTGAAGGTCACAGCAGGACTTAGTGACAGTGGCCAGGATGCAGTTCCTCCGTTAGTTGCTGTCAAGACCCTGGGCTGCCATGGGCAGCCCTAGAGACAGAGCTCTGAGAGGCTTTTCCTCTGAGTGAACTTGCCACAGGGGTGCAGCCCCTCCTCGCCCCAGACACTGTCCCGTGTGGCCTGGGAAGCACGGGGATGGCCAGGACAAGGTGATAAGGCACCCCCTGAGCCTGGGCAGTGTGGCTGCTGCCTCATGAACGGCCTCCATGGGTGACCATGATGAGTCTGAAGCAAAGCAAATACGAGAGAAGAATCTCCGAGCATTGCTAGGGCAAGGCGGCACTCCACAGCCCAACAGGAATATTAGCATTCTAGTGTCCAGTCAGCCCTGGGCAGCCAAGGACACCACAGCCTTCATGGACCCAGGCCTGGGCTTCTTACTTGGGTGCTTGGGCTCCACGGCGACCCTGACGATGGGGGTGGCCTCGAAACTGAGTGGGATGAATGGGGGGCAGCAGGGCGAACTGCAGAGGGTCGCTGACTTCAGCACAAAATCCTGAAGGCCGCCTATCCCTGCAGAGAAAAGAGACAAGGGGTCAACCATGGACTGTGAATAAACCCAGGAATAATCCTCAACAATGCCATAAGGAACAAGGCATCCTGCACAGGGGGTTGGCGAGAAACACTTCCCACCCCCAACACACACCCACCACCACTACCAACCACCACCACCACCATTTAATCAGATTACAAATATGAGACCAGTTTTTCTGTTCCATCTTATTATAGGGAGGGACCGGAGACCGCCATGCTGGGGGAGGCCAGCTGGTGCCTCCACATTAGGCTTCCCTCCAGTCCCCCCATCTCACTGGCTCTTCTTTGCACTGCCAGGACCATGCAGACCCCCACAAGATACCTGTTGAATGAATGAATGAACTTTGTGTTTAACAATGACTGAAAGCAAGCCAGAACTGTGATCAAACTGGCGAGGGGAACAGAGGTGGGGCTGCTGATAAGCCAGTACACAGACACACAATCACAATGAGGGCCATCAGAATTTGTATGAATCAGGAAAACAAAACTGACTGACCAGGGAGAGAACAGTTTCAAACATGCACGCTCATAAAAAGTATCAGGTTAAGAGAAAGACAGGAAATCCGTATGAGAGAACATCTCCTAGATAGAGTACTAATAAAACTTCCGAGATCCATCACTGCCTGAAAGCTGAGTTCCATAGCATCACTAACGGGTCTCCATTCCTCTCAAGCAGCCACACGTGGTCTATACTGGACATGGTATAGAGGTTGGGGGTATGGACGTTGGGCAGTCAGACTCCTGGAGTGCCTCCAGGGCACAGACCAAGCACATAGCACACCTCCAGGGCCCCGACCTCACAGGAGGCCCCCTACACTTACGGGGGCCCTCCTACACTCACAGGGGGCCCTCCTGCATCACAGAGGGCCATCTCAGACATCGCTAAGACCATGTCCCGACCTGGGTCTGGAAGGAAACAATCCGGAGACCAACAAGATGAGACCAACGGGTCTCCACTCCTCTCAAGCAGCCACACGTGATGAGTTTATTTCTATTCCCACAGTTCACACAGACGTCACAGACATCATTTTCAGAGCTTCAGAACGTCACTGAAGCCACACCTGTGACTGTTCCTCCTGGGGTGGGGGTAGGCAGGCACTGTTCTCGCAGTCTGTACGAGCTGTGAGCGTTCACAAGGAGAGTAAACCACAACTGTGCCAACGCAGACACCTGCAGCACCCCGCTCCCCCCCATGGAATGATGACGACTTTTCTCCTAAATAATCCCAGTCAAGCTTAGCTTAGGCTTCCTTACTCTGGTCTGAAAGTGCACCTCAAGGCTTTCCTATGCAAAGCATCTGCATCTGTTCGTCTCGAAGCACACTTCAGTGTCCCCATTTCTACGCAGGCGACAAGAGCAGGGATCAGGGTGCAAGGCCATGTGGGAAGGCTGTGCAGAGACTGCTGGACCAAACAAGGGGGCTGCCTGGCTCTGGAGCAAAGCCGGAGTAAGGTCTGTGGCCCGCAGCTGCGTGCTCCATGGAACTCTCAAACCCCGAGTAGCAGGTTGGCCAGCTTCCCTGCCTTTCGCGACTGCCAGCCAGAGCACAATTTGCCTATTTGGGGATCCATTGGGGGCATTTAGTATCTTAATTTTTGAAACAATTGGCTTCGTTCTGTTATATAATCTTTAATAAGGCTGGGCTTTGCGGCTGTTAGTGGTATCCCAGAGAACAGGGGGCTCTTCTGAGCTGGCCTGTGCCATGGGGTCTGTTACAGATTTTCCTGACCCCAATTCTAGTCTGACCTCTGTCCAGCTTATAGCGGGCTACTCCTGTCCCTCTAGAAACTGCCTCCAACCTATACCTTCTGTCTTCTCTCCCAAGTCAGGTTCACTCTGCTTCACTGATGCCTTAGAGTATGGTCTGACTAATTCTGGTAACTCTAGGAGCCTTCACCTAGAGAGATTTTTCTTCTAGAATCTTTCCTGTTTCCTTGACCCCGAAGTGGAGGGCTGCACAGCCCTTTTGCCTTTAGACAGAGGAAGCAGCACTTGGGCGCTTCCCCCTCCAAGAGGCTGCATTCTGTCCAACAGAAGGAAACTTTTGGCTGGGTGGGCACTCAACTTTTCTAGGGGCCCACATTGGGCAGTTCTTGGAAATTACTCTTGGTTCTGGGCTTAGGGGACCCTATGTGATACTGGGGATCAAACCCAGGTTAGCCACGTGTGAGGTAAGTACTTACCCCTGTACTACCTCTCTGCCCCCACTGCACCCCCAACCTGCCCCCAACTAGTTGTTATTGGTTCTGTCCATGAAGCACCCTCCTACAGTCCACTTGAAGCAGTCCTGTCTGCTCTTACTGGTCGCACTGATCTTCTTTTGAAATATCATTATTTTTCTATATATCCATTGGTTTTTTTCTTTTTTTTTTTTTGCTTTCTGGGTCACACCTGGTGATGCACAGGGGTTGCTCCTGGCACTGCACTCAGGAGTTACTCCTGGTGGTGCTCAGGGGACCATATGGGATACTGGGAATCGAACCCGGGACGGCCGCATGCAAGGCAAACCTGTGCTATCTCTCCAGCCCCCCCTTTTTTTTTTTTCTTTTTGGGTCACACCCGGCGATGCACAGCGGTTACTCCTGGGTCATGCACTCAGAAATTACTCCTGGTGGTGCTCGGGAGACCATATGGGATGCTGGGAATCGAACCCGGGTTGGTCACGTGCAAGGCAAATACCCTACCTGCTGTACTATCGCTCTAGCCCCTGCACTGCTTCTTCTGTGTTCATTCCAACAGAGGGCAGGGACCGCATTTGCTCTGGGAGTGGCGCACAAGTTCTGCTCACATTTTTAGTCTTCATAAGAAAAAAGATTTTAGATTAAATGTAAATTTCTTTGTCATCTTAGACTTCTAATCATCTATGTGGCTTAAGGTGGGGCCAGGGAAGGGCAATAAAACAGGGGGCTTACTTGGGTCTCAAATAAGATCCTTTTCATGCCTCATCTCCCATACACAATCCTACTGACTTAATGTGGATGTACATGTGCACCTGGATTATCCTTAGTCCTGTAACATACCTCAAAACTAGATGGATACTCTTGGTAAAATCTCAAAGTCCCCCAAATATACAAAGCCCAGAGACTATTTAGTTCTCTGAATCTACAAAATCTCTTTCTTCTTAGTTTGTATGCCAATTGCGAGAGAGAGAGAGAGAGAGAGAGAGAGAGAGAGAGAGAGAGAGAGAGAGAGAGAAACTTCTGCCATAGAAATTTTAAAAGAATACCTATAACCTCAGGTATTTAAGGAAAATTATTATTTTTTTTGCTTTTTTGGTCACACCTGGCAATGCACAGGGGTTACTCCTGGCTCTGCACTCAGGAATTACTTCTGGCGATGCTCGGGACCATATGGGATGCTGGGAGTCGAACGTGGGTTGGCTGCGTGCAAGGCAAACGCCCTACTGGCGGTCCTATTGCTCCAGCCCCCCAAACTTGAGTTTTCTTGAGCCCACCCTCTTCCTTGGCTGCACCCACAGCTCTTTCCACACACATATTATTCACCATCCACAATTTAGTAAGACATATTTGTTTTTAGAAGATAAGGGACAACAAAATAACCAAAATCTTGGAGGCTACTAATTTCTACAACTACTTTAAGCAGTAAAGTTTCCCTTTACAGAAAAAGTTTCAAGTTTCATGATTCAAGTGTAGTCTATCTAAAAACACCTGGAAATGATTTCAAAGTTTTCAAAGTCACCATCCTAATAGGTATTACTTCCAACCTAACCATTACTAGCCTTTGAAATATAGACGCTAAGAGCAGACTGGATAGATCAAATGCTATAGATAAAAGCATTTGAAAAGCATACAGTTATAAAAATGTAAGGTAGTAGTATTAAAAATGGATTTCAACATGAAATCCCAAACTCATTCATTTCAATGACTCTTTAAAAATCTTGGAAGGCAGAAAATAGGAACTTTAAACCAGATCCAGTTCTGCATTTTACTGGGATCACTTTAGGTCAGTCGACCTTAATCAAATTACACCCCATCTCTTCATAATCAGAAACCAACTGAGAGGCTTCGGTCAACACCACAGGCTTTCATGCGAAGCTGGCAGCTCACTTCCTAGGAGGACACACGGAAATTAAGTGATCAAATTAGTAAGAAACTTCAGGAGTTCCATGTGGTCTGTCTGAAAAAGAAGAGCTCTCTACCTGTGGCTCAGTTTAAAATCCCCGTCTCTCATTAGTCTGTGATAAAATACTCGTAAGGATGAAGAACATGGACTGCAGACCTGAAGAAACAGACTCTACTACAAGCTTGTTACCTGAAAGAACATTTCTAGTAGTTCTCACCACCCAGGATGATACAGCTAATTCTACGAGGACCAGTGGAGGAGACAATACCCAGGGGCTTGTTTCTATTAACATCTGCCAAACAAAGCCTCCTCTGAAGGTAAACAGTCAGTAAAACCAGATGTGGAGATATATAATCTACTGAAATAACTGAGATATTAGCAGAGCAGCTGAATCACTTCATGCTTTAGGAATTACAAAGCTGAGATTTATAAATAACTTCGTTACCAAGTAGTCATATATTACTGCTTAATGCTCAACTGAGAGCATTCCATATCTGGCTATGCTCAGAGGAGCACCTGTGATGCCAGGATCGAACCTTACCTCGCTCTAGCCTCTCAACTGAGAGCTTAATAAACATGACCTCACCTGATTTCACGACACAGGAGGGGGCAAGTCCTGGTGAACGGATAGAGACAGGAACATCAGTCAGGAACCTACAGTTGTGGAATAGGTCCCTGAATTTCTGCACTGCTGAGTGAGGGCAGTTAGCAATGGCTGGTCAAGAACATATTCAATTTCCAAAAAATGAGGTAAAAAGACGCGTGTCTGTGTACTTCTACATGTAGGCACATACGCCCCTTGCTGCAAAAAGGTAAACTGTGGACAGATCCATTCTAATCTGTGGTCAGACAAGGAGCTGATGCAGCCAGCACGCCTACTGGCTGCGACTCTGGCG